AAAACTTTCTAGTAGGGTACCACAGCAGAAGCTGGCCCAAAACCAAAAGTCATTAGATAAGCGTTTAGTTTCATTTTCTTAGATTGTACTTCTTGCAAAAATTTTGTATCTGCAATAGTGGAAGGGATATATAATCCTGAACTTGAAGTAGCTGAAAATGGCTTTACTGATTATCAACCTACTACAAGTAGCCAAAAAGTGATATTTCAGCAAATATTATGGAATGAGGCAGTACTAAGTGATCTTTCATTGTTTTATCTTCTTACAACATAGCTGTACTATGCATTTTTAAAGATGAAGTTCAGTCCTTATTCCACTGTTACTAATGGATACAGCTATAAAAAAAATGTATAACAGCTACCAATACTGCAAGTCTAAATAAAAAGGAACCAAAACAGGAAGTTCAGCATTATAAAATTGCCATGCCATAACACACACCACCTTTTCATGGGATTGCAGAACACAAATTGCTCGCTTTTGAGACCCCCCCCCCTTAAGAACAACAACTTAAACTAAGCATCAACTTGGATTTAATTTGCTTACAGTAACCCCCAATGTATTTTAGTTTATTTTTCATGTAATTACTTACATAAACTTTAGGATAGGTGTATCTGAAAGCAAGATAGATTTAGGTAGCTTGTTGGCTTGGCACCAGCCTTGTCTGAGACCTAAGTCCAAGAACACATTATCAACTTTGCTCCCTCTCGTCTGGTGCCAGGAAATGATAATCTCTGTAAGACTGTTAACCCACCTACAAATCTACACACTTATTCTCTATTGACTACATCTGTAGGACTTTACTACTAGCTGGTAGGATAAGAGTAAAGATTTTTCCTTTAAACACTGTACAACAAAAAAAGCTAGAAGCACATATAAAAAGCAAATCATCAAATTAATAGACTTGCAGAGTATTAAAGACAAAGCAAAGAACACGATTTTAAGGCAGTATTGTACGAATAAGACAACTATGGTTAACTCCTGCCCAGTGAACTACACATGCTACAGCTAAAGGGCCACATTCTGCTTCAAGATGACACACAATTAAGATTTTATAAATAAAACGCAGTACAGATAAACAGCTTCCTTTTCCCAGCCATATCACATCACTATTTTCTCTTACTGAATTTGGTGCACATCTCCAGAAACTTGCTTTATACTGCAAGGTTCACTTATGCAGTTCACCACCATAGGGTGTCATGCATGTTCTTTTGCTGCTCCTGTAAACAGGCTCTCATAGCCTAAGCAGCAGAAATAAACTGAAAAAGATGTTATCAGTTCCACTCTATGTCTGCTCTTAATTGTGCACCTGGACAAAAATGCTGTTCTGGACATGATTCTCACATACACTTATTTCCAACACACAAAATGGGAAAACATGAGGTACTTCTAGAAAATTAACACCATTTGTCTTACTATATTATGGACTTTTTCCCAACTGATCTGTCTGGGCTAACCTCTTAGAGGTAGATAACACTTCATAGCCTGAATTCCAACGAGCTTCTTCACACAACACTAAACTCACCTGGATCAGAACTTGCAGTACTTTCAGCAATGGGTTTTTGCTGAGCAGACAACTACACCAAATCATTACAAATTTCCACTTTGCAAACCTGCCACAAACAGTGTCCACTGAAGACTACAATGAGATGACAGAACTAATTTCACAGGCAGACTAAACTAGATTTGAACTAAAGTTTCTTGAAGTGAAAAACTGGTGCAGTAAGTAAATGTGACACTTTATTCCTCATGTTGAAGAGATTTACACTTTAATATCTAAAGAATGTCACTCAAAAACAATCATAATTTTACAGCTTTATGTAAAAATACATAATTCAAAAATAATTTGGTCCTGTTCTTCCTGGTAGCAGTTTGCCTCAAAGGGATCCAGTGTGTACAATATGCCAGATAATGTAGTGAGAATTACTGTCCACCTTAACAAATAGTGATCTAACAGTTGAGCAGAAGGCTCAGACAAGTAGTACATCTATTAATGTTAACTTCATATAGCTACAAAAAATAATTTAATTGTGACCACTGAAGGTTAACTTGAGTCAAACTGCTCCTTTTCATTCTTTATAATACAACAATGATTTTTGCACACACAGGAAGTGGTTATAAGAGAGCCATAAGGGTTTTTACAGAAAAATACAAGATTTCTCTCTGAAGTTTGTCAATACAAGACAGTATCCACTAATAACAAAATAAGAGTCACTTTTAAGAATTATTTCTCAGTTTTCCCTCTTTCTTTAGGGTAGGCCTAAATCACCTGACCTATTATTCCTAGGTCTCTTTTAGAGATAATGCTTCATGTTTAACAAGAGAAACTGTCTTGGGAGTAGGAGAGATTTCAGTACCTTTTTCTTGCAGCTACCTCTCCTGTTATCTTTTCTTTCCTGTTATCTAATTTCTCTCTTCCTTTCTCAACGCTATCAAAATTTCCTCAAGATATTGCATCAGGGGCACTGAAATGGGGAGGTAGGGCCATGCCCCCCCTGAACTTTTTACTGGCTGTAAGGGTGAGCACCAGGGGGAGGGGTGGAGAGGAGCAAGCGGGGGCGTGAGGGGGTGGGGCCACACTTTGGGCATCTGTGCCCTGCCCCCCCCACACTTTTAGGGAGTTTCCACTGCTCCTGTATTTCACTATACATAGAATATTCTAAACAAGGGATTTCTGAAGTTGCAAGCACCTATGTTTATATACACGAAGATCTGAAGTTTAAAATACATTTTCTCATTTGTATCATAACAGTATCAATAAATCACCAGTGACTTCTAATCCCATAAAACTTACATGCTTTCAATATAAAATATTAGTATATCACTATGTGATCAAGTGGATTAGCAGCCATGTAATGGCTGATGTAAAAGGATTAACTTAATTTAATTCACTTTAACCACATAAATATATACTGGCATACAAACACATTTTTATCAAGCCATACATCAAACTAATTCATAGTTTAGAATTTCTTTAAAAGACAGGACAGAATATATATGACCTGGTCATTTACTGACAACGTTATTCTCCAGTTGCTATTAAAAAATTGAGGCGCTTTAAAAAACAATTAATTCCAACATTGTTAAGACTAGCCCTGTAATCAATGCTTCTCTCTCCCTTTTATATTTTTATACAAGTTCCTATTAAATTGGCTTAACATTTATAAGAGTTGCCAAACAGGATTCAGGGTTTGGTTTTGCCATTCTATATAACAAATAAGCATAGCAAGAGACCATGCAAGCTCACTCTAACATTACTGTATCTCCCACACCCTTCTCACAAGTAAAACAGATATCAACTGAAGATTTCAATACAGTTAAGAATAGATACACAAAGTAAAGGGGGGGGGAGGGGAAGATAAGTGGTTTGCTGATTCTACATTATTTTTTCAGCATTATTTCTAGGTTATTGACTAAGGGTTTGCATTGTGAAATGTGTTTCAGAGTAGCAGCCGTGTTAGTCTGTATCCGCAAAAAGAAGAACAGGAGTACTTGTGGCACCTTAGAGACTAACAAATTTATTAGAGCATAAGCTTTCGTGGACTACAGCCCACTTCTTCGGATTGTGAAATGTGAAGTCTATATTCACCTCCACCTCCCTTACACCTTTAAAAGATGAATTATAGGCCTTCCTATTGACCTCAAATGAGAGCAGAAAGAGTCCCATATTTCCCACCTTTTAACTACCCCTCCCCACAATAAAAAAGAATAAGAGAGCAGCCGCAGGTCCACAAGTGGGCCAGAACGTTTTTCAGAGTGTTGCATAAATTTACAGTGCAAAACATCTTAACTTTGTGCTGCACATCACAACTTAAGGGTTTTTTTAAATGAAACTGATAGGAACTAAATTGCCAGCTAGAGCACAGCCTTGTTATAAAGCGAATTAAACACCGAACTGACACACTGCTAGAAGGACCAAGTACAGCATAATCTGTACTAAGCCGCCTCTCACCTCCCCCAGAAACTCGTATCTCACTTGGAAAGAGACGGGTCTGAGGAGACTGGGGGAAGATACCACTTACAACACACACTTCTATGACCTCCAGCTGGGTTTCAAGCAGAGGCGGAGAAGCCCCAGTGAGACAGACAGGGCGGCTGTCACACGGCACTACCCAGCTCCAGACACAGGCCTGCGTGCCAGGCACGCCGAGCACATCGTGCCACCCTGCTAAGGCAGTGAAAGGGGAGCGTGACTCACAGGTGTCAGGCACCAGAGCCTCTGTCTCCGGGGCTCTCGGTGCGGAGATGAATCCCCGTGACAGTGGCCCCACGTCAGGGCGCCGGGCAGGCCCCCAGGGAGAAGGGCAATACGGCCGTTAGCCCCAGGGCGCGCGGAGGGGGACACCACAGCCGGGGACTGAGCGGGGCTGCCCCCTACGCAGCAGCAGCGCTCTCTTCCGCCCTGTGCCTCCACAGGCCCCGGGGGCGGAGCGGGCTGGGCCTGGCCAGCACCAGAGCCGAGACAAGGAGCCGGCGACGGCTCCTCCCTCGCCAGCTGCCGTAGCAGTTAGCCGGCCACCTGGCAGCTGTTCCGCCCGGCCCCACGGAGAGAGGCGCCCCCTGGACGGCTCTGCGTTGCCCCTGGGGGTCGGCGCCGCCCGAGAGGGTGCACCGAGAACCAACGACTCTCGACGCATAGGGTCCCAGCCACCCCGGCTCACCGTGCCTCCAGCCCGGCCCACTCTCCGGCTCGCTCCTCAGCCGCACCGAGTCTGTGTCCCTCTCCCCCGCACAAGCTTGGCGGCGTCTGACAACTGCGTTCTCCCATTGGCCACCCCTCCGCGTGAGGTTAGGCGCCGCCATCCGCCCATTGGCGCAGCCCGGTATGTACACAACCTGCCCACCAATCCGAGAGACAGCTGGGGAAGGGGCGGGGCACAGACCGAGCTGGTTCTAGAGGGTCGTCGGGATTTCCCATCGCGGTGGCGTTAACCCTGAGCCAACCCTGGTTCCGTTGGGAGGGGTGAGCTGCGGTGCCGGGCTGGCACGTGGGGGGCGGGGGGGTTTACCTCTTAGCCAGGAAACCCCCCCACATACACACCCAGGGAGTGGCTGACTCTCAGCCAGGACTCACCCTCCCCCCCCCCACCCCGGCAAGAGACGGACTCAGCCAGTACTGGCTGCTCCCCCACCCTGGGGCGGCGGGCGGGAGGGATACCAAACTAACCGCCTCTCCCCCCTCACACACACCCCAAGGGGGAGGAGCGGAGATATTATTTCCCATGATGCCCAGTGCGTGGACGGCCGGAAGGACCACAGCTGTTGGAGGAGGTGGACACTTCATGGCCCCGCGGCGGGGCAGATGAGAGAGAGGCCTTGTCCCCACAGACTCACCCCATCACACTGGCTGAAGTATTTTGGCATGGAAACCGACCAACTACCACATTAACCCAATACAGCCTTTGAATGAAACCCTACAGGGCAGGATGCCTAGAGGTTGGCTAGTAGTTTATAGTGACATTAGCCATAGCCAGAAACTAAGCTTGATCTTAGCTCATAGAAAGCCAAGACATATGTTAACACACATGTGCTAAGGCTGAAGGTGCAGAAATATAAATATTTTATACAAATGACACTACAATTTGCATATTTGGTGAATATGTGTTGTCTTAATTATACTCTGCATGTGTTATATACAAGATAGTAAGCATACTGATTACCAGGGCTTTATCCTGGCAAGGCTACAACATGTGACAGAAATTAGTAGTGTTCCTGACTGATTTTGGCATCACTGGGAGTTGGTATTCAAGTAACTCTGGCAGCTCCCTGAGATGCTGCCCTTGAGCCTGCAGCAGGAGAGGACGGAGCTGGAAAGACTTAAAGGACTGTGTTCTTCTAGACAACTTTTCTCTTATTATTAAAAGTCCTGAAAGTCTATGACTAGAAAGAACAGGAGTACTTGTGGCACCTTAGAGACTAAAAGAACAGGAGTACTTGTGGCACCTTGGTGCCATAAGTACTCCTGTTCTTTTTGCAGATACAGACTAACATGGCTGCTACTCTGAAACCTTAGAGACTAAGGAATTTATCTGAGCATAAGCTTTCGTGGGCTACAGCCCACTTCATCGGATGCATAGATGAAGTCTATTTAGGAGCACCTTCCATTTAGCACAAAGGTTTTCAAACTGGAGGGGGTGCCTCACTAGGGGGATGCCCCCCCACAGTTTGAACATCATTGCCTCCTGCCAGGAGCCAGGGCATAATATAAAAAACCACTACTGACAGACTTTTCTACCAGTTATTGACACCTATGGATTTTTTTTGTCTTGTCACAATTTCCGTGATCCTGCAGGAAAGGGGGGGGGAGCGCTGAGCACCCTGAACTCTGACCAAAACCACTGGGCCTGATCCTGTGGGAGAGGGGAGCTGATGCTGCTGGGCCAGGTCCTGCATGCCACCCCATTTTTGCACCCCCGCTGGCTCTGTGCCCTGGGCGGCTGCCCTGCCCTAGTTACAGCCCTTTCTCCAGCCATTAGCTGTTTCTGGGCAGGGTCCCTTTTCCCATTCACCTCTGAACAGAAGTTTTAAGTCTATCCAGCCTCTTGCCTTATACTGTGATGGCTCCAGAAAGCCAGTCTGCCTAAAGGCTACCAGCTGGGCTGTGCTTTCTCTCTGTGGACACTGACAGTGTTTTTACCAGTGATCCTACAGCTCTGTCTCAGCAGAGTACATTTATTTTAAGAACAAAAAAAAGCAGACTGAGAAAACAGAACAACAACACCACAACAAAAGTTCCCCTATGCATGCTAAAACCTTACTAGAGCTCACCCATCAGTCTTATGGGCCCAAGTAAGCCAAAGTCTTTCCAATCCTCCTACAAGGGCTTCCCCCCTCCCCCCTTGGACAGAGGGCTCTGTCCGTTTGCTTAATCAAAACAAAGGCTCTGTCAGTTCAAACTCAGCTTTTTATACCAAAGCCCCTTCTTTGTTTGAGTCTCTGGAAAACCTAGTTTAAATCAGTATATGCAAATACCCGAGGGGGGAGGTGGTTTTCTGGAGTTGTTTACAACTGTTTAAAGTTCCTGAAATAGCTGTGGTAACCTTCTCCCATGGAGTAGAACACATTATTACATAAACCATTCATAAATTTAAAACAATGGCTCCCAAAGATACTGCATGGGATTGTAATATCTATCTCAGTCAGGAACAGAGGCGGCTGCCCCCCAGCAATTATAGGAGCCTGTCACAAAGGGCTGCTCTACACTTTTAGTACCTGCATAACTATTTTGCTTGGGAGTGTGTGGGTTTGTTTATTTTTTCCAAAAGTAGCTATATCGATACATCCCCTAGCGTGAATGCAGTTAGAACAGTATAAAAGGTGACTTGCAGCAATAAGTTATTCCCTTTCCTGTATGTGATTAAGCTATAACACCAGTGTAACGGCATCCACACTGAGGGTGTTGTACTGTTTTTTAACTGATACAGTTAAAAGGGTACAACTTGTATGTATGCAACAAGACCCAACACACAGATACTGGGCTTTTTTTGCTCAGCTGGTAGAAAAAAACCAGTTACCTACCTTTTCGCAACTGTTGTTCTTTGAGATGTGTTACTTATATCCATTCCATTTTAGGTGTGTGTATGCTCATGTGCACAGTTGTCGGAGATTTCTGCCTTAGTGGTATCCATAGGGCTGGCTGCAGCGCCCCCTGGAGTTGGCATGCTCATGCAGCAGTATAATCAAGCACCACTGGCCCTACACCCTCTCAGTTTCTTCTTGCTGGCAACTCCGACAGAGGGTACGAGGGCGGGTAATGGAATGGACATGAGCAACACATCTCAAAGAACAACAGTTACGAAAGGCTAGTAACTGTTTTTTCTTCTTTGGGTGCTTGCTCATGTCCATTCCATGCTAGATGACTCACAAGCAGTACCCCCAGAGTTGGGCTTGGAGTTCACAGCTTAGCAGCTTGCAGTACAGTCCTACCGAAGCCAGCATCATCCTGGGCCTGCTGGGTAAGTGCATAGTGGGATGTAAAGGTATGGACAGACCAGGTGGCTGCCCTACAGATGTCCTGGATAGGCACTTGGGCCAGAAAGACTGCTGAAGAGACCTGCGCCCTGGTAGAGTGGGTGGTGATGATCGCTGGGGGTGGCACCTTCGTTTGATCATAGCAAAAACGAATGCAGGCAGTGATCCAAGAGGAAATCCTTTGAGCGGATGCAGGGCAACCTTTTATCTTGTCAGCTACAGAGACAAATAACTGCATTGACTTAGGGAATGACTTGGTCCTGTTGATGTACAAGGCCAAAGCCCTCCTGACGTCCAGCGCATGCAGCCTGCACACCTCCTCCAACTTATGCAGCTTCAGAAAGAAGACCGGTAAGTAAATGTCTTGGCTCAAATGAAACTGAGAGACTACCTTGGAAAGGAAGGCCGGGTGCAGTCTCAGCTGGACTTTGTCCTTGTAGAAGACAGTGTAAGGCAGTTTTGAGGTGAGCAACCAAACCTCGGATACCCGGCAGGCCAACATCACTGCTATCAGGAACGAAGAAGAGAGCAGGAAGCCAAAGACTCAAAGCGGGGGCCCCGTGAGCCGTGACAGCACCAGATTCAAGTCCCAGGGAGGCACGGGATCTCTAATGTGCGGGTAGAGGTGCTCCAGACTCTTAAGGAATCTAGCCATGATATCCTGAGCGAAAACCAACCTGCCCTCGAATGGCGGGTGGAAGGCTGAGATGGCCACTAGATGGACCTTGACTGATGAGAGGGACAAGCCCTGGAGCTTGAGATGCAGGAGGTAGAATGAGCTGCAACGAAGCTTGCTCGGGACGGACACCTTTAATTCATGATCCAGCAGGTGAACCGCTTTCACTTGGCCAGGTAGGTCGCTCTTGTGGAGGGCTTTTTACTTCCCAATAGGACTCTCTGAACCTTGGCTGAACACTGCTGCTCCTACGCATTTAGCCATGCAGCAGCCAAGCCGTCAGATGCAGCGCTGCCAGGTTCGCATGCAGAAGACTGCCGTGGTTCTGGAACAACAGGTCCGACCTTAGCGGCAGCTGGAACTGGGTCACCACCGAGAGGTCCAGCAAAGTGCTGAACCAGTACTGGCGTGGCCAAGCTGGCGCTATGAGGATGACCTTCACCCTGTCCTGCTTGATCTTTATGAGGACCCTGGCCAGTAAGGCACCGGAGGGAAGGCGTACATCAGAGCCCCTGACCACGGGAGCAGGAAGGCGTCCGACAAGGATCCTCTGTCTATGCCCCGAACTGAGCAGAAAACGTGACATTTTCTGTTTTGCCTGGACATGAACAGGTTCACCCAGGGAGTTCCCCACTTCTGGAAGATAGAACTGACCACTTCTGGGTGAAGGGACCACTCGTGGTGAGACGAGAATGTCCTGCTGAGGTGATCTGCCAAAGCGTTCTTGGCCCCTGGAAGGTGAGTGGCTACGAGGTAGATATTTTGCTGCAGACAGAAGTTCCAGAGCCGGAGGGCTTCCTGGCAGAGGGCAGATGACCTGGCTCCGCCCTGGCTGTTGATATAGAAGACTGTAGCCGTGTTGTCCATGAGGACCTGAACCACCATGCCCTGTATATGAGGTAAAAGGGTTGGCAAGCTAGGCGGACTGCCCTGAGTTCCTGGACGTTGATATGCGGAGAACTATTGTGACTGGACCAATGACCTTGAGTACTGAGATTGCCCAGGTGGGCTCCCCATCCCAGGTCCGAAGCATCGGAGAAAGAGTCACCAACGAGGCTGGGGCCACGAAGGGAACTCCTTCCAGCACCAATGTAGGATCCTGCCACCAGTTGAGAGACGACAGTATGCTGTCCGGAATCCTGACCACCCGGTCCATGTGGTGCCGGATGGGGACATAGACTGACGCCAGCCACATCTGTAGGAGTCTGGGGCAGAGTTGCACTTGCCAGACCACATAAGTGCATGCCGCCATGTGACCCAACAATCGCAGGCACATGTGGGTGGTGGTGAGCAGATGGGCTTGCAGGCCCGAGATGAGGTCTCCCATAGCTTAGAATCAAGTCTCGGGGAGGAAGGCTCTGGCTTGAGTAGTCGAGAACTGCCCCAATAAAAATCTATACACTGCACTGGTGTTAGGGTTGACTTCTTCTCGTTTATTATCAGCCCTAGGTCGCAGCAGGTGGAACAGACCAGATTGAGATGCTTCGGCACCAGATCTGGGGACCGGCTCCTTATCAACCAGTTGTCAAGGTACGGGTAAATTTGGACTCCTTGACATCGCAGGGAAGTGGCCACTGGCGCTATATGCTTTGTGAACACTCTTGGGCCGACGAGAGGCCAAAGGGCATTGCATGAACTGGAAATGGCGCTGGCCCGACATGAAAAAGAGGAAGTGCCAATGCCCTTGAAAAATGGAAATATGCGTCCTTTAAATTGAGGGCGGTATGCCAGTCACCCGGATCAAGGGAGGGAATGATAGAGGCCAGGGAGACAATGCGAAACTTCAACTTCTTCAGAGACTTTTTGAGGCGACGCAGGTCCAGGATAGGTCTGAGGCACCCTTTTGCCTTCAGAATTAGGAAGCAGTGGGAGTAGAATCCTCTGCCTTCCATGTTCCAAGGAACCTCTTCCACTGTCCCAAGCCGCAGGAGGTTTTCAACCTCCTGAACAAGGAGTTGCTTGTGAGAAGGGTCCCTGAAGGGGGACGGGGATGGGAAGGGTGGTCAGCTATAAATTGCAGGATGTAACCCGAAGAAAATGTATCGAGCACCCAGCAGTCTGATGGTATACGGGACCACGTTGACTGGAAAGGGTGGAGACGATTGAGAAAGGAGGGGGATAGATCCGGTACACTGGCTGGGGCCGTCGTCCTCAGGTGCACCCTCAAAATGTCTACTTTTGGCCTCCCTGATTTTTGGGAGGGTCAGGCTGCACCGTCGGGTGGGAAGACGATGGGATAATGTCTCTTAGGCACCCTGTCCTTGTCTTTCCTCCTGTAGGAGCCTGACCTGGAAGCCCCCAGGACCTGGACTGTGGCAGAGGAGGCGGGAGTGGAGGATGGAAGGCTTCCTAGACTGCTGAGGGGTATACCAGCTCAAGGAGCAGAGGGTGGCTTGGGAGTCCTTAAGCCCATGGAGCCTTGAGTCAGTTAGCTTGGAAAAGAGCCCTGTACCCTCCAATGGGAGGTCCTGGATTGTGGCCTCCATTTCAGGGGACAGCCCAGAAGCCTGCAACCACAAGCTATGCCTCATGGTCACTGCTGATGTGACCTGGCCGTGAAGTCCGTACTATCCCAGGCCATCTGGAGGACTCCTCTGGCCACTGCTGTGCCTTCGCTCACTAATGCAGTGAACTCTTTGGCATGATCCCATGAAATGATTAAAGGAAACCCACAGGTTGAAGTTATAATGTCCCAGCAGGGTCTGGTGATTAGACACTCCGAACTGCAAGCTGGCCATCAAATAAACCTTTTGGCCAAACAAGTCCAATCTCTTAGCGTCTTTATTCTTCGGTGTTCCGCTAACCTGTCCCTTTTGTTAACTGTGGACACAACCAGTGATGCTGCCGGGAGATGAGTATACAAATACTCAAAGCCCTTTGCAGGGACATAATATTTCTTTTCCGTCTTCTTGGAAGTCAGTGGAATAGAGGAGGGAGATAGACAAATCATCGTGGCAATCTTGAGGATCCCTGGGTGGATATACAATATGACCCATGCTGGGGTGGTGGCTGAGATGACATTGAAGAGGTTGTCAGCCTCCTCAGCGACCTCCTCAATTTTCAGGCCAAGGTTTTCCACCACCCTGTTTAAGGAGGGCCTGGTGCTCCTTAAAGACATCTGCGGGACTGCTAGGGCGGGATGGCCCTGCGACCGCCTTGACCAGGGATGATGACGAAGACTGTACCTCCTGCGGGAGGGTGTCATCCCCTTCCTTTGTGGGGAGGGTTTCCTCGATGCCGGGGTACGATGCGCCACATTGGCCTCCGCATTGGTACCACATTCTGACTGCGGTGCCATGGCCGGCTTGTCAGATGAGGCCTGGGAGGGCTGGGAGTATTGGACCGGCATGCTGAAGCACCGACACCCCCATGGGTTCCAGGACAGCCATTTGGGGGGCCACTGTCCCTGCTGCATCGGTGCCATGGCCGGTGCATCCTCAGCCTCCAGCATTGGTGGGGAGGCACCCCTCCTTGGCGACGGGCTGGTGGTCTGACCCTGATCATTGTACTTCTGGTGACCACGGTGGGGCCGTTGAGGCCTGGGTCTATTTGCTGACCCCGGTGGGCGAGTGGCAGGGTGACAGTGAGTTGTGCCGCCTTCCCAAGGAATGGTACTGGAGCGAACAAGACTGGTGCAGAGATCCCAAATGACCCCTCCAGGATGGCGACCGACGTCTGGGAGACCGCCTGGGAGTGGGTGACCGGCGCCTCAGCGACCTGTAGCTGGACGATCGCTGGTACCGTCGGTATGGTGAACGGCACCTTGAACCCAGAGTCCCGGAGAACCCGGAGGTGGGGATCTTGCTGGAGACCAAGGCCTCCAGGCCGGATACCTGGGACATGGTGCCAGGATCCGAGGTCACGGCGATGGGGACCTGTGCCTGCAGTCCAGCGACCAGGGGAGTTCTGTCAGTCTATGCTGCTGCACCCCGGTGGGCTTACCCTTCGGTGCTGGGGATGAAGCTGCTTCAGTCACCTGGAGTGGCACCTGCAGAGCCGGCCAGCTCTGCTCTCTAGTCACTGGGACTGGTTTGGGCACTGAAGGCCCCACAATAGGCTGGGAGCCCCTGCTACCGCCCAGAGTAGGAGGCAGGTCCCGAGCTGGGCTTGGAGGTCCGAGCTCAGCGGCACCCCTGTGAAGTCCCAAAGCGGGTGCATAGCCTGACACAGGTCATTTGCCCATGGCCCCTCTGTCCTTCAGTGCCGAGGGACTTCGCTTCTTCTGCTGCTTCCATGGCACTGGCAAAAGGGAGTGATGCCAGGCCGAGTCCGGTGCCAGCAGTACACTGCGCACCGAGGCCAATGTACTCAGCCTGGGTTCTGCGGTGGAGGGCTCCAATGCAGGGCGAAGAGCAGCCTCCATCAGGATGGCCCTCAACTGAATATCTCGCTCCTTCTGGTTCTGAAGGTGAAAGTTTATGAAGATGCAACACCTATCTTTCCTTTGGCTGTCTCCCAGATACTTGAGATAACTGTTGTGGGGATCACTGATCGGCATCGGACTGCTGACTACCAAACATGATTTGAAGCCAGAAGAGTGGGGCATGCCCTGCTCAGGGCAAAGTCCCAACAGGGATTATAACTAACTTACTTAACTACTTAACTAACTACTATGAACTATATACAATAACCAGTAGAACAAAGCCTATGAGAAAGGCTATGAAGAAACCGCTAGAGCTCTTACGATGCAAGGCAAGGTGCTCCAACCAACCGTCACAGGTGGTAAGAAGGAACTGAGAGGGCGTAGGGCCAACGGCGCCTGATATACCGCTGCATGAGCGCAGCACTCCTGAGGGCGCCACAGCCGGCTCTACAGATACCACTAAGGCAGAAATCTCCGACAACTGTGCACGTGAGCACGCACACACCTAAAATGGAATCAACATGAGCAAGCACTCAAAGAAGAATAGTTGCTTGTTGCATAGCAGGCCAAGCTATCGGGGGAAAGGAGAGCCTGTTGGGGGAACTGGAAAAAGTAAAACCTTCAGCTTAACACACACTGCAGATTTCATATCGTCTACCTTGGCATTTACAGCAATACCACTCACTGCAATTTCTAGATGTGACACCTATCCAGGGAATAGTAAGACCTGCAAGAGAACTCCTTGCCTCCCACTCTCTACTGGTCTTACTTTCCCCCTCAAAAGACTGACTGGCACTTCTCCTGTTTGCAGTGGCTAGCAAAAACAAAACCTTCAAAGGAATACTAAGAATTAACTTGTTATTAACAGTTAAATATAGCTGTGCAGACAATAGCTAACTTCAGTTGCTTACAAGGCCTGTGTCCAGGGTCAAACTCAAACAATATACCCTTCCCTTTTCCTGAAGGGGAAGAGGGTAAGAAGCAGCTGGCATAGATAGCAAAAAAAAAAAAGCTTCCTCTGTCAGTTTTGCACCAATGAGAGTTTCCCTTCTCTGTCCACTTTAAGGCCACAGCACAATTGTGGCCTTACCAGGTAGGAAAATCTGATCCTATATTCCTTAAATGAAAGCTTAGGTTCTGGAGCACAAGTACTGGCTTTGTAAATTACCAGAGACCAGTTGCATTTAACCTTTGCTTAGTTTTTCCCTAGCCTCATGTTGGTCTCCTGCTGCCCAATTTCAGATCTTCTAGGGGAGAAAAGGAAGTGCTCTTTCATCCAATAATGAATTATTGATATGTGTGATGGTCCTCTATTGATGAGGGTGGTAGGGGAGTATCACCTAATAGTCAGGGTTTAGGGTCATGATGTGCAGGGAGGTTGTTGGTAGGGAAGCTCAGGCCCTCGCACTCCACTGGGCTCTGACCCAGGGTCCTTTGAGCGCTATCAGTTGTCTGACAGCCAGGGCTGCTTAAGCCAAACTTGAGCCACTTCCTATCACCTCTGCCCCACGTGACCGTCCCAAAGTCACTGTCTGGGTTTAGGTGGTGCGAGCGATGTCTGCTCACCAAAAATGACCCCTCTGGCATGTGTGTGTAGCAAGGTCGCTCTCCTTTCTCTCTCAAGCAGAAACTGCATCCTCTGGTGGTATGGCCCATCCTCTTGGGCCAGCTTAGTCCAAGGGCTTTCCCATGCTGGGGTAGTTCAAACAAAAATAAAGGGGGATTAACCAAGTCAAAAATTCATATGAGAAGGAAAGGGGAATGCTTCCCTCTCAGGCTGTCTCTACAGCAGATCCTCCCTTTCATCAGGGAGGGACCTTTGGGTAGCTGTTTAGGGAGAGATTCTGCCTTCCCTCAGCTCTTCTCCCCTGGAGCTGCCTGCTACAGGTCTGCGTTCTTCCCTGGGCTGCCACCAAATGAACTGCTCCCCTGCCTTTTAACTCCTCCTCCAGTTGGTGCATTTGCTACAGGTGTGGTGGGGCTGGCTGGGCCCAGAATAGTTTTTTAACCCCTTGTTGCCTAATGTGGAGTTTGTATACTCCATCACACTCTGAAAGAGAACTCAAATATGTATACGTTATATTAACATCTTTCTACCATCTCTAAAATAGCACCAGGCTGAAATCTCCCTGCCTGCCAAGATTTGACTTTTTTGTTTCTGGGTGCTCTCTGTAGAGAAAGCAGTATGTGTAAGTGCAACAACCGTCCCCCACCCCTTTTTTCTTTCTTTTTTTTTTTTGTTAGCTGATTGTATACATCAATCCTGTTGTAAGATTCCTACACTGTCTCTACCTCATATTTCATAGTAATTTTACAGTGCTATACATATTTCATGGCAGTTATTGGTTATGGGTTTTTTTGGCTCTAATGGGGCTTTTAATACCACAGATGCCACAAAATCCTCAGGTGTCAGAACTGGTAGGCTATTTGGTGGGTAAAGTTAAAAGTTGATATATTTGGAAGGACTGTTGATAGCTGTGTTATATCCCTGTGGAACTTGCTTCCTGTTTACACTTGTAAAGCCAGTTTCTTTCAACTTTAAAACTTCTATTTACCATTGCTTCTAAAGTTTCTTAATGTTTATAAACTTAACCCTGTTTTAATGAAAACAGTACTTACCTTTGAAAGATGCAGTATCAATATAGGCTGCTCTTAGAGTTGAAGAGATGCATGCTAGCCCCATTCAGACAGTAAAAGAGTGATAGGTATTTTTGAACACTCAAAATTTGAGTTCTAGTATATATTTATATATCTATCCTAGGTACAAAAATATATAGTTTTCCTTTAAGGGAGAACTCCACCGTAATCTTCATACGGTAATTTCGATGTCATATGCAAAGTCAATTTATGCTGCTACAAATAGTGGAGGGGGGAACAAAAGCTAAAGAGAAGGGGCTTATCTACATGCAGTTGCATTGGTAAAACGTAAGGTCTTATGACAGATTTTAGAAACCTCTAAAACATATACACAAGATGATATCTAAAAAGTCTGTACAAATCATTATGAAGTTATATGTTACACCTCTACAAAGCAAGATGAAAAATTATACAGAAGGATGTATGATTTTATATCCTCACAGAAAGAAGCCTTAGTACAGGGATTGTGTCCAGACTTTTGACGTTTGGTGTCCAGCCTATGTTTTGGTGTCCAGCCTATAGTCTGTGCCAGGAGAACAATAATGCCCTCTTACTGTTGGACCAGCAACTCAACATTTCTATTTTTACTCTGGGCAGAGAGATGACATACATGTTCTTGTCAAAAGCAGCCAGTATTTCCACAAATAGACCAGTCTGATTAAATCCAGACTAGATAAAAGCAAAATGTGTTTTAAGTATAGCAGAGAGAAAAAACAATCTAAACATTAACCACATTACTCAAGAGTCCTACCATACACTCTT